GGGTGCCTGGGCTGACAACCAGGGACCGGGAGCAAGGTCTGAGCGCTGGGGTGAGATCTGCCCCCTGCAGAAAGCTGCCACCTGGGTTAACAGTGTGCAGCAAGCGGGCTCTGCTTTTGCTGGCTGAGAGCAGAGGGAAAGGGCTGCAAGCTGCTCCCCTTTCTCTCACTGTGCGTGGAGAGCGACCGCACTGGTAGTCAGCGTTTGCGTGCAATGAATTCATGCCTGGGCTAACTCCTAGCAAACTTCCCTCTTAACAGCCCATATTAATTACACTCCTTCCGTGTAGATGTGTGAATTTACACCCACGTCTCCAGGATGGGATATCAGTTGGCTGTGAAAAAAAGGCACCGAACACCACTCCTTGGCCAGGGGAGGGAAATGCAGAGACATCGGTGTCACGGTCTCTGCAGCACAGCCAAGAAAGGTGCCCCATCTCGGAGAGCTCAGAGCCTGCGTTCGGCGGCAGAGCTGCTCTAGCTCCCAGCTCCAGCTCCGTCTGTGCCCCTGCAGTCAGCAGGGAGGGTTGCGATGGCTGCTATCATAAACCTCCATCAAAATGACTGCACAAGAGCAAATGGCTTAGATCTTTAACATTTCCCTAATGAGAGTCCTCCTTGCGATAAAAATACATTCGCCATATCCTTGAGCACCATATTTCTTCATTAGTGTTTCACAGGTGGGGGAAGACAGACCTCAAAAAATACAATAATAAATATAGCTTTTGATAGTGAAATCTGACCGTTTCCATCTACCCTGAGGCTCTTGAGATGTAATATTTAATAATAAATATTCCATTTCTCCCCCTCACCAACAATGTCCATTAATGCATTTTGTTCTCTTCACTTCCCTTAGTGATATGAACTCATCCCAGGGCATTTATTTTATTATTATGTTGTTTTCAAAATGCTTCATCTATCAGTGCACTAAGCCTGGCAGTAAAATCTATTCCAAGATTTAGCAACACCCCATGAACCTTCTGCCTCTCACAAGAACCTTTTTGAGGGCTTAGAGGAGATGTAAATCATGCTTGCTGACCATGCTTGCTGACCTTGCTGACATGTTGCTGACTTTCTGAACTGAAGTATAAATGCAACATTGCAAGGTTTTCCGCGGTCAGATAATAAGAATACAGCGAGAGGTTTGTGTGGGGAAAAGCCTCGAAGAGCTGATGGAGATGGAGGTGGATGGCCCAGAGCATCTCTTCTGGTCCAGCAGAATTTGCGGCATCACGCAGACGATGTGCTCGTCCCCTGGCCCCAGAGGACTGTTGTGCAGTGCTCCCTTGAATCACGTTTTAGTTTCACTACTCCTACCCCAAAATAGTGGGCTAAAAGCTACGGTGAGGTAAAGCAGAAGCTCAGAGTGGTGGAGGAGCAGCCGTAGGGGAGTGGGGTGGTCTGGGAGGGGTTGTAGGGAGATCAGAGGTGAGCCACAGCGCCAGATGCTTGGCTGCTCTGTGGGTCACAGCACAAGCCAACACCCACCCCTGCATCTCCTCAGCCTTCACCCCGTGCCCAGTGGGGTTCATGGTCAGTGGCTCCAGGTGGTTACACACTGGCCAGCAGGACGTGGATGCGGTGATGAACGTTGGTCCTGGAGCAGTGGATGGAGAAGAAGAAAGCTGGCAGGTGAAAGAGGGCAAAGATGCAGGTGTGGACCCTGAAGATGTAGGCCCTCCAGGGACCAAGGAACTTGATGGCAGTATTCCTGGAGGGGCATCTCAGCCCGTTCCTGAGAATCAGGACCTATGGCATCATGTTAAAGATGGCATGCAAAACTGTGATTAGGAAGGCAGCTGTCAACACATGGACACTTTTTTTGGCTATGTCACCACAAGCCAGCTTTGAATGACATTAAGGGGTTCAGCACAGATCAAATGCACACTGTCTCTTCCAATACACAAATTAGGAGCCCTCCGAAGACGCACCTGATGTGTTCAGAACAAGCATATGGTGGTGGCTCTTCACAAAACATATCTTGAAGCTGCGGAGCTTCTTGCCATTGCAGATTGCAGGTGCCAAAATTCAAATTCAAATGAAGTTTTAATGGAACAAAAAATCCCTTCAGGGCTATTAAATGCATATGGACCAATTCTGGCTCAGAAGTCCTCTAGACCACAAACTACTGGAGGCTGGGAAAGTGCTTAGGGAAATATTAAGCACACTTAACCTCTTCTCACATACTACTTTTGGCATCTACTTAAGGCCACTTTTGGGGGCATGGTGCAAGCCCAGATACCTCTGCTCTGTTCCAGGACAGCTACTCTTTGGCACAGTAGACCAAGATGCAGGAGGCAGAGGTAGCAAAGACATAAGGCCTCTTTCAAATGGCCTGCAGAGCTCCTGTCCTGACCGCACTGTGCTTCATGCCTTGCACTCCCTTTGCACTGATTTAAATCATGGTGAACAGCATCTTCTCCTGGCCAGGGTCCTGGATCTAAGGGATTAGACTGGGTGGAGGGCCTTGTTCCACTTCCACAGAATTACAGTGGGGCTGGAGACAACCCTCAGAATTCATCTATCCATCATCCTGCCACAAAGCAGGAGCTCCTCTACCTAAACTGCACCTGGCAGAAAACCTGGCCTGAATCTCCAGGGAGGGGGAGTCCAGAAGAAAGACATCTCTGGAGCTGGGCTCCAAGGCATATCCCCTGCCATCATCAGCAAGGACTGATGATGCAGCGCAGAGTGCAGGCAGTGATGCCAGAGCTCAAAAATCCTTCAGCTGCACTGTATGCCAGGGTGGGCCTGGTGCTTTGGGGGTTAATGCATCTGCTCTGAGCTCTGAGAAACAGCCCGCATGCTCCCAGGCCAGACCTCCCCACAGAGGGGATCGCTTCAGGGGTTTTATAAATTCTCCCCTGCTGTGAGCCCTGACGTTCAGGAACAGGCTGCTGCGTCAGCAGAGGCTCTGGGAGGGAAGCTCAGGCTGGTCTTGAGCGAACCAGGTTAGTGGGCTCTTTGCTCTGTTGTTAAAGGTTGCATTGTGCTGCACCAGCTCCTCTGGACAGGAGAAGGTCTGAACCTCCCTGGGTCCCCGACTCGGTGCAGATATGGACAGATTTTCTGATGCTTGCATCCGCAGACACCCCATCACCCTCCTATAGAGCAGCTTGTGCCAGCTTCAGCACCCTGAGATGTGCTCTGCTCCAAAGAACTGTGCTCTGTCCCCTTTCCAGAGGGCTAGCACTGAGAGGGGAGAGCTCCCAAAGACCCCAAGCTTTCATGTTTCACTGCCTGTGAAAGGGACTAGGCAGCCCTGCCCCTGTTCAGAAAAATCACTGTTTACAGCAGAGCAGGGTGCAGTCCCTTTTCCGCTCACAGCTTCAGGAGGACACTTGGTCTCGGTGAAACGCTGGGGCAAATTTGCTTGAATTTGTCATTTTCTGGACTCCATCAATTCTTAAGATTACAGTGAGTCGTTGCTTAGACAAGCAACCTTCAGGGTTCACCCCTACTATTTCCCTTGAGACATTTGTATCTGAAGATAGCTTTCCTCCTTAACTGTTCCTCCTTCCCCTCCATGTAATGTGGGGCAAGTTCTTTAATAAACATCTGTTAAGGACTAGAGAAAACTCCTGTACATTAAGGTCTCCAGTTTCATGCAAGCAGGGGTCACTCCATAGAACTTATTCTGTCAGTGCCCTTACCCATGGGTGTGGGGCCGGGTCATAAATCTGGAAATTGAGAAAGGGAAGGGCAAAGAGACATGCTATGGAATAGAAACTTTATGGATTTCAGCAGAGGATGGTAATATTTCTGCAACTATCTAAACAGTTAGATAGATTTCAGTATTCTTAAATGCAATGTTTTTTACATTTATTTAAGTTATTTTAAATACTTTTGTATATTTGCATGTGGATACTCCAGATAAGGTGCCATAATCCTCCATAATAGATCTGCCCAGGAACCTTACCTGTCAGAGCCAGGCGTTTCTAGAGAAGTTTCCTAAAAAACCTTTTATTCAATCCTTCCAGCCTACTTCTGTATTGCTTTCCACGGGACATCTTTATCAGCAGAGCAGGGGAGTGAGCTCGCTGGAATGTGTTAGAAACCTAAGGCGGACTAGAGTTGAGATAAACAACATTCAGCGCTCTCCCCTCATCCACCCAGCTAGCACTCTCATTGTAGAGGGCTATCACGCTGAGTAAGCATGATATCCCTTCCGGAAATCCCTGCCAGCTCGTCCCAGTAGCCTTCTTGTCCTTCGTGTGTCTGGAAATGGCATCCAGGATTATTTGCTCCATCACCTTCCCAGGGACTGAGGTGAGGCTGACCAGCCTGTAGTTTCCCGGATCCTCTTTGTTGCCCTTTTTGAAGACTGGAGTGACATTTGTTTTCTTCTAGTCCTCAGGAGCTTTCCCTGATTGCCACGATCTTTCAAGGATGATGGACCGTGTCTCAGTGATCCCAGTGAGATCATAGCCCTTTAATCGCACTCATACTTCCAGTTCCTCTTGTTTGTTCCCCATGCTGCACGCATTACTGTTCAGGCACTTCAGAGAGGCACTCATTTGTGCTAATTTCCCGAAAGGGTATGAGAGATTTCCCCATAATGCTGCCCCACTGGTGCTTCCTTTATTTACGTGCATACCTTCAGGGCGACCTCACGTCAGTTCTGTTTTATTGATTACAAGGTCACTTCTGTTTGCATCACCCCAGATCCTTCTCATGCCAACCCCACCCAAAATTTCCTTACTTGATTGCTGGTCATTCTCTCCTTCTGTGCATGGTTTCAGTAGCGTAGGAATGTAGAGGAGAAGCAGATATGCTCAGATTGTTCCAGTATAGCTCCTGGTAAGTTCTGCTGTGGCGCAGAGTTGGTCATGGCAATGCCTCTGAGCCAAGACTTCAGACTGGAGGACTGCCAAACTATCTCTGCTTCTCACTGCCTCTATGTGGTTTGTGACCCTGCTGGCTTTCTTTTCAGGGCAGATATTCGGAGATGAGATGGAGCATCCTTGTTTCACCCCACCCGGGACCAACAGCAGTCAGACCATGACACCATCATTCTTTTTGGGTGGCTTTCCAGCATGGGGAACTGCTCAGACATGGTCTGCTCTACTTCTCTGCTCTACGTACCTCCTGGCACTGCTGGGGAACTGCACCGTCCTTTCCATCATTAAGGTAGAGCAGACTTTGCATGCACCCATGTATCTACTCCTTGCTATGCTGGCTGTGGCTGACCTGGGCTTGTCCACGTCCACATTCCCAAGCATGCTGATGATACTGTGGCTGGAGGCCAGAGAGATCAGTTTTGGCATCTGCCTTGTCCAGATGTTCTTCATTCACACCTTTACAGATATTGAATCTGCTGTCATTCTGGCTATGGCCTTTGATCGCTACGTGGCCATCTGCCACCCCCTACAGTATTCCTCCATCCTCACCAACTCAGTGACCATCAAGATATGTGTGGCAATCATTATGAGGACTGTCCTTGTCCAGTTCCCACTCCCACTCCTGCTGACCCGGTTGTGTTTCACCAGGGCCAGCAAGCTCTCCCATCCCTACTGTTTGCACCCAGACGTCATCAAACACACAGGCTCAGACACGAGGATTAACAGTGCCTATGGACTGTTCGTGTTACTCTCCACACTGGGGTTGGACTTGCTTTTTGTCCTCCTGTCCTATATTCTGATCCTTAAGACTGTCCTGAACATTGCAACTTGGAGGGAGCGTCTCAAAGCCCTCAACACCTGCATCTCCCATGTCTGTGCTGTCCTAGTATTCTTTATCCCCATGATCTGCCTGTCCATGATACACCGGTTTGGGAAACACGTGTCCCCCCAGGTCTACACTTTCACAGCCAACCTCCATTTCCTTGCCCCACCCATCTTGAACCCCATCGTTTACAGTGTGAAAACCAAAGTGATCCGGAGACGGATACTGAGGATGTTCTGTCAAAGAGAGGTCTGCAACTCTAGGTCTGCCATTTGCCGGTAAAGCCAACATGATGGTCATGGCTAACAGTCTTACAGCAAGGTTCAGCCCCTGAGAAGACCAGCCAGGAGAGGGGAACATATCAGATATTTTTTTTGGTGTGTGGAGATGTGGAAAGTAAGGATATATGTAAGGTAAAATATAAACAGAAGGTAAAGACCATGTAGCTACCTGCAATGTAAGAACATATGCTTTGTAAGGATGTCTGGTTGCCAGCTCTTCGGCATATAAACAGAGATAAGAGATAGGAAAAGTAACAAACTACGTCTAGATACACAGACCCTAAAGTAAGGAGGTAACAGAGACGATATCAAAGACCACAACTATCAGGTCACTGGTTGAGGGGCCACTGAAGGAACCGGGAGAGACGAGGTTCAGCCAGATCTCTGTAGCTGCCGAGAAGGAGAGAAGATTATCGCGGGTCGCATGGGAAAGAGCCAACTTATGGGATATTTGAGGGGGCTTGTGGGATTGCATAAAACCTTATATGGGACGTTTTAAGGGGTTGTGTGAAGGTGTGAAATGTATTATGAGATGTTTAGGAGAAGGACCAAAGGCAGGCAAAAGGAGGGATCAAGGTGGATTGGGGAGGAACAAGCATGGGAAAATGGAAGGGGGAGGGTAAAAGGGGCCAGACAAGTATAAACAAGTTGCTGGTCAGTATGCTTGTCTGGCCACGCCTGTGCCTGATCACTGCTGGCTGTCCTGGCTTCCTATTAAACTCCATTTCTAGCTATTCCCTGAGTGACCTTACTCTCTAATCTCTGTGAGTGTGGGGATATGTGTGGGATTTGCTGGCAAACTTCAAGCTGGACTAACTGGTGAGCAGGAGGAGACCAGAATCTGTAAAGATGCAAGAGTGGAGCTGGAGACTGGGTAAATGGGCTAGGATATGGTCATGGAGTCTGGACAGACCTGTGGTCTGGTCCAGGGTTGGATGGACCCATGGATCCAAGAGTAGCTGCAGACCCAGAGAGTGAGGGTGTGTGTCCTGTCCTGATCCACTGGAGCAGAAGAACATGCCTGGGCTGTGTCATTCATGTCTGCGTGGCTGCTGCTGGTGTTTATGTGGTACCAGGAAAGACACAGCTCTCTGCGACAGTCCTTTCAGCCAGCCACATGTGCAATGAGTGTGTGTGTCTGTGTGGGTGTGCCCAGTGGGAATGCATGCTTGGTCTTGCTACTGACTGGACCTACAAACTCGAATAGCAGAAGAGAGACTGAAAAGGAGAAATTCCTGAATCTTAAAGTGCCCTGGGTATGCCTTCCTTTAATTGTCAGCAGGTACTACCTGCAGGTGAACTTTCAATCTTGCGTAACTGGAGAAACGCCGCATGCTTACACATGAATATGATGCTTTAAAATCCTTGTCCATGATGGAACTTGCCCTGCAGCATGGCTGGTCAGCACCAGCAATACTGGACTACAAGGTGTGCGATTCTCTGGACTGAGCTGGGTCACGCATGACCCACAGGGCAGATCTCCTGGCCCCTTGGGAGGCCAAGCTGGTCACCAGCTATTCACGCTTTTGCCCTTGTGTATAAGGTGGAGGATGAGGGTGAGTATGTGCAGAGGGGTCAGGTCTGCCAAGGTCTGCTGGGTCTAGCTACCTCTACGCTGGACTGGCCTGTCCCAAGTAGCTGGCTGGTCATAGCAGTCCTCCAGGTCTACAGAAGTCATTTCCCTCTGCAAGGGGAATGCTTTATATAAAAGAATGGACTCTCAAAGAGTAAGCAAAAGTATTACCTTTTCTTTAAAACCCAGAGGCTTTCCCCATTAGGTTTTTATTTGTTTCACTTTGTGCATTTTGCCTGGGTTGGGCTGCAGCACTAGATTTCTTGGCATGGCTATTTCTTTCCTGGATCAGCATGACTAATTGGTGTGCTGGGTTTCCATAAGGCACTGCAGCACGATGCCTTCCTCTGACAGGCTTGTTTAGACCAGTAAAATGGATTTCTTGCCACTTGAGCTAATGGGGCAGCACTGATGGAAGAGCAGCTATTCTCTTCCAGCTGACCCAGAGGTGCAGGCACTATATAAACTGGCTCCACCTGGAAGGGCATTTTAAACCATTTACAAAACAAAGAACTGTTTTCAGCCAATGTTTCTCATAGATTGTGCACACAGTCCTGTGGCAGGTAAATTCAGCCTGTTCTCAGGAAACACTGTCACTGGGAAGTGATGAATACTTAAAATATAGTCTAGTGGATTCTTTCAGCTTTTCCAGGCTCAGACCCCCTGGCACACATCCATATAACCCGTGAAGACAGGCCTGTGTGTAATGAAACGACAAGCCCCAGGTAAAGACCTGAGAAAGGAGCAGTTCCACAAGTATTAACAGAATATACAGAAAACGCCCCCTCTGTGTATTAAAGTTTTGATTTATTGTGGTGAGAGCTTTGACCAGATGACATTTGCCCCCGTGAACTGCTTGGCAGAGCCTCACTCACGGGTGGGACCTGCTGTTCTCAGCCTCAGAGCTGTCCTCAGTCCCTCTTCCACTAGGAAGAGCTCTCTGCAGCATGTTGCAGATGGGAAAGGCTTCCACAGGCTCAAAAAGCAGCAGGACAAATTCACAGGAGAAAAATCCTTTGATACCAGAATAGCATCTCTGGCTGAGGAGGCCCCTGTGCCCTCACTCCTCGCATGAGCATACAGGAGGAGCCTTGCTCTTAATTTCTTCCTTAGGCATCTGCTAGAGGCACGGCTGTTGGGTTAGACAGACCTTGGTCTAGCTCCTTGCAGCCTTTCTCGCATCTGCTGCAGATGGAGCTGAGTTCTCCTCTGCCCTGGAACGAGTTCTCCATTATGACCTGGGAGCCCAGAGGCGGCAGCTCGGCTGCAAGCCAACCGCCGTCTCACTATCAGCGTTTCTTGCAGCACGGAGGATGCGTGAAGCCAGGACCCACCTCCCAGCTCGGCACCCGCATCTCCCTGGCTCACCTTGTGTCTGACGCCAGCCCTGCCCGCGGAGCCTGCTGCAAGCTCGTACTCCCATTTCCCCAGGGGAAAGTCTGATAATTCATGATGAATTACCCCCGTGGTTTCTGCGGTGGGGCTGTGTGCGGCTCATTGCCCCCCTCTGCTGGGTGCAGCCCAGGCTCTGGGTACCACGACCCTGCTGGCCTGTGGGGTGGGCTGGGAGGTTGCTGTCCACATTCGTATAGTGTCCAAGACCCGTTTCCATTAGCTCGTGGTTGGGAGCAGAACTGCTTGTTGCACGCAGCCCGTCATATAAGCTTGGCGTGGTGGGGTTATCATCTCCCTTTCTGTGAGTGGGGAAATGAGACACGCTGCCCCACAGCTTGCCCTGTCACAGTCTACCCCACAGTTTCTGTGTGACCTTCACTGAAAGGTTGGTTCTTCTCTTCTTATCCCCTTTCCCACTTTCCTCCTTTTTCTGAAGCAATGAGAAAGTCTAGAAATAAGGAGGGTCCTTGCCTGAGTGCCTTAGTGAAGACATTTCACTGTCAGGTAAAGGATGCCTGTGCGCAGAGTCCTGCACACACACAGCTGTGAATACAGCTGCTGCTTGCAAACAGCGCCTGTGCCTTGATTTTGAGAGTTTGAGGTTGAGAACACAAAAGCTGAGAAACTTCAAACCCCTTTTCAGGCCTGAGCTGTAGGTTGCCACCAGCATGGGACAGGAAAGAAGAGCCCCTGGAAGCTGCTGGGCAATGCTGAAAACTGCTATGTTTGGGACTGCTCTGGGACTGGGCCACTGTGGGTAGCAGGGGAGAGAGAAATGAGATGAAATCAGTCCCCCACCCTGACAGTCTGCAAGACCTATATACCACTGACTCACCTGCAGAGAGGGATACCCACGTTAGGAGCGGGCCATGCATAATGCCAGTTTTACCAAAGTGAAATTGATTTTCACGCGCTGGAAAGCAATTTGGCACAGAGCTAAAACATTCCCCAGTTGCAGCATGGGATCTTTTTGCATGGGATTCATCTGTGTGCGAACACAAGGAAAGAGATGTCACAGTGAGGGCAAGTAGTCTGTGTGGACTAGCCATTAAGGACAAACAAATTTTAAAGGGGGTGTTTTCTGTATAAAGGGCTGGATGAGCTACTGCGGTAAATGTCTGACCACCCTGAGTCAACTAATATTTCCCAAGGCATGTCTGGATGTAAGCCCTGAAGACTTATGCCGGTCCACATGGATACAGGCATAAATTAACTACTGCTCTGCGCTCCTTTCCACTTCCACTGAATGCTGCATTTATTCTTCTCTTTCCGTTTCTCCATTCCAAGACTATGCTGAGCATTCCCTCCCCAGAAGTGTCTTCACATCTCAACACGTGGCATGTGCTGTTGCTTTATGCACTCCTGTGAAGACTCCTCATGCTGCACAGGTTTGGGGAAGGCTCCATGCCCCCCTTCTTATATCTGCATATCTTGCCTTGCCTCTGCTCAGTCCTTCGTTTCGATGCAGAAACCCAGAGGTACCACACAGAGGAAACCTGCAGTGCATATGGGCCAGCTCCAGCCGGGAGAGGAGGAGCTCTTGCTTGCAGAGTGCCAGTCTGTCTATACCACCATATATATCAAGTGGGTAACTGAGGATTGGGGACCTTATTTAATTAAAACCATGAATTTTTACACTAGAGTCAGTCTGAGCCAGGAGTTATCTATTACAGTGTCTGCGCTGGGGCTGGATAGCCATAAGGCATGCACATGCTGACAGCTGATGACAACGAAGCTTTGCAAATATCCCAGTTTTGAGAGCTTGAAAATCTAATTTGAAAATATGGATTCTTAAGCTGTTAAGTCACAATTTTCCTGATTCAAAGAAAGGTAGAAGAAAATATCTAGCTAAAGGCAATCTATGTGCTTTTATTTCAGCAAATAAATCTAGATTTAGTGCTTAATTTAAGGCACCCAAGTTTGACTTTCCTCGTACTTTTATTAGCTTCCATTTCCACACAAACTCTTCCTGCTCACCCACCTATTCTCCATTCCCACTCTCTGTTAATATTGGATTTTCTTTTTATGTCTCCAAAGAGAGTCCTCATAGAGTACAAGTCAATTCTGAATATTGAGACCGAGAATGGCAATGAAAGCAAGTTGCAGAGAGCAGACACAATTACTGTATTAATCACAGTGATGCTAGAAGCAGCAGCATTTGCAGGGAGGCAAGGAAAGCTAGAGATAATGATCATGGCAGATCCTTTATCATCCCTGTAGCATTAACTGGAAGAGATCAGCATCACTCATCCATGTGTCTTAAGCCATCCCATGTCATCTTCATCCCTCCATGAAGAAGGTGATGATACAGCGCTCTGATGACTCTGTGCACTCTCCCCCGTGCCATAACCTGAGGAAACCATGGAAGGTCACATTAAAGGAGTTCCAATAAAAAACACTTTAATTTTGTATACTTTTTACCACTTCTGTCCACTCAGCGCAGACCAGAGCTCTGCAGCTCCCGGTTGCGTGTGAGCCCCCTTGGGACTCATGAGGACTGTATAAATATCGCCACCTACCCGCCTCTCTCTGAAGGTGACTTGTCTGGTTCAGAGGCAGATCTCCCTCATTCGTGGCTGTCATGGGAGCTGGTGAGTAGCTTGCATTAGCTGTTATTTAGCAAGTTTACCTGATTTGAGTAAGAAGGTAAAATTCTGCAGCCAGGAGAAATTCCCCTGGCCCACTCCATGCTGCAGCTTTAGGCTCTGAGATGGAGAAATGCGTGTGTCCAGGCAATGTTTGTCATGTCAGTGCTGCTACTTTGGCTCCATGGTCATTCAGACCAGAAAGGTGATCCACCTGCAGGGGCTGCCTGCAGTATTGCTCTCCAGGCTCAACCTGAATCAGCTTGGCATGCAGAAAATCACAGCCTGGCTCTGAAAAACTGATAGCCTGCCTGATGGTCTCCAGCCTCCTCTCACACATACCTCCCAGTAAGGGGACTGGGATGTGCATTCAAAGAAGCAGAAGAATATCGGCAAAGGCTTGTGTTAAGGTCACCAGACAGGCGATTACCAACTAGGGTAGGAGAGCCTGGGATATAGCCCTGTTTGTCCATTGTCTGTAGAGAGTTCATGGTTCCCCTTCATGATTTGCTTGATGCTGCCCTCACTGTCAGCTTTGTCATTTTTTTGGAAATACTGCAGATCGCCTTCTGGGTTGGGGTGAGGAGAGTCCTAAGGTAGCATCAGATAGAAAAAGTGCAACAGCTCCTTTCTCTGGCCACTGGCGTGCATACAGAGGACTCCACGTATGCAAATCCCATGCACACTGGGTCACGAGAGGATTTGGCCTTGTTTGTTGCACACTGGGCTGCAGGTGTGGCCAGCTGAGGGCCAGCCCAGGCAGGTGTGATGCAGTGCAGGGGACACTGCTCTAGGCAACGCTGCCCCGGTTTAGGGAGCTGTGTTTCACCCAGCTGCAGTGCCAGTGGCCACCCAGGTTTTCATGCAGGGGGCAATCTTTGATTTCTGACATGGGAAAATGGTGAGAATCCTGAATTCCCTTGTGTAAACTCTGTGCCAAAATTGTGCAAGCTTACCTATGTCCCAACAGCCTTACTCTGCCTTAGACTTTTGCTTCTGAACTTGCCTTAAAATTCAGCAGCTATTCAGTCTCCCCTGCATACAGTCATTCCCTGAGATCACATGCTCTGTGGGTGCTGATCTTCTGCTCTGTTTTGTTTTGCAGAGACTCCTGGATTATCCTTTCATAGAGATGTACTGCTGCCATCAGTAAACAGCTTTGTTGCACGGGATGCTGCGTGAGCAGTCTCTGCCTTGCAGGGATCATAATCTGCTGACCAGCAAAATGTGATGGGAATGAACAAGTAAGCAGAGGGTGGAGAGAGGTGAGGTAGGTACTGAAAAAATTAGCATGTTGTATAAAATCAGAGCCCATCAGTTCCAACTCATCACCTGCCTCGTATGCTTTTGGGCACTACAAAACAAAAGTGTAATCAATGACTGCAGTTAGAGCTAGAGGGGATGGGTTCCTTTCCCAGGCTCTGGTACTGACTTGTGAGCTTTGGTAAATCCCTTCTCTGGATTTCCTTTCTGAATCTATAAAATTGAGTTTTTAATTTCACTTATCACTTGATGTGGAGCCAAGGTCTCAAGCACACTTCCCCAGCTTGGGCAGGGGAGTGATTTCTCTAAATCACATCAAGATCCACAGAAGGAAAGTGCTCTCAGGCCTCCCAGATATATTTCTGTGATTTATGATGAACTGTGACCCCTCCCCCCTTCTATTTTTTGCTTTCAGGGAAGATAGCTCAAAATAATTCAGATCTCATCCCATGATGGCAGCTGTCAATCTCACCAGCTTGCAGCCTTCTTCCTTCCTTCTGATCGGCATCCCAGGCCTAGAGGACCTGCACATCTGGCTTTCCGTCCCATTCTGCCTAATGTATATTGCTGCGGTCTTTGGTAACTTCATCCTCTTATTTGTCATTGTGATGGAGCGAAGCCTCCATGAGCCAATGTACCTTTTCCTGGCCATGTTAGCTGTGGCAGATCTTGTATTATCCTCCTCCACGGTGCCCAAAGCCCTGAGCATATTCTGGTCCCTTTCCAAGGAGATATCTTTCCACGCCTGCCTTACCCAGATGTTCTTTGCACACTTAAGCTTCATTGCAGAGTCAACCATCCTGCTGGCCATGGCATTTGACCGGTACGTTGCCATCTGCAACCCACTGCGATACGCCACAGTGTTCACACACTCAGTGATAGCAAAGATTGGGCTGGCTGCCGTAGCCAGGAGCTTTTGTATGATGTTCCCAACAATATTCCTCCTTCGGAGGCTGCCGTACTGTGGACACGTCATGCCACACACCTACTGCGAGCACATGGGCATCGCCCGGCTGGCTTGTGCCGACATCTCTGTTAACATCTGGTATGGCTTTGCCACCACCCTTCTGTCACCAGGAGTGGACATCGTGCTCATTGGGGTGTCATACGTCCTCATCCTCAGGGCTGTCTTCAGGCTTTCATCCAAGGATGCCCAGCTCAAAGCAGTTGGCACCTGCAGCTCTCATGCCTGTGTTATATTCATGTTCTACACACCAGCATTTTTCTCATTTTTCAATCATCGGTTTGGCCACAACATCCCCCACCACGTTCATATCCTCTTGGCAAACCTCTATTTGCTCCTACCACCCATGCTAAACCCCATTGTCTACACAGTGAAAAACAAACTAATTCGAGAAAAAGTGTCCCGAATATTCTTTAAAACTGGGCAATTGAGTTGACAGGAATGTTATTCCCTTAAGAGGAAAGTACATAGACATTTCCAGCACCGCAGAAGCAGGATGTATGCATGTGAAATAATGTGGTTTCCTCCTCCTTTTGAACTCTGCTTGATATCATTACTGATCAAATATCCCATTGGATGTTTCCTCAAAGCAAATCACATCACTAAGAAAAAAATGAGGAATTAGTAGGGAACCACGGACCTGAATTTTGGCTGATGCAAACTTATGTTATCACATTACCATCAGAGCTTTTTTGATGGGTTTGAGTTTGACCTGTATGTATATGAAATGTACATTTTCCATGAGGACTCTACCATGTTCAGCTCCCTGTTGGGTGTGTATTTCTATATCTTGTATCTCAAAGTTTTCAGATAATATCGTAAACTTTCTCCCAAGTGTAAGCTGGGGAAAACGCTTGGTTTTGGACTAAGTGCGGGAATTACTGGTCAGGTTTCTCTGACCTCTTCAGTGCAAGCTAGACAAACTTATTCAATCCTTTCAACTTTACTGGCCCTTCCTACTACCAAAAATTAGTACTGCTCCCTTTATGCCATTGACTTTTTGCTAACAGTTGGAAATCTGGCCCCAAATGAGGACTTTTTCAGGAACAAAAAACAAAAAAACACATCTAAATAATAATAAATAGAGTAAATTATTCACGACACTAACATGTGTCTTCCCAAGAGCCATGTCAAGGCCATGTGGGTTGGGGTGTTGTTTCCTGAGCAACTGGAGCCATGAGGGCTGTCTTTCCATTGCTCTGCATCCCAGGTAATTCCTGATGATAAGTAAGGGCAGGATCCCCCTTCTCTGGACCCCTGACTCTTTTCATGAAATCAACAGGTTCCTGTGGTCTCTATGATTAATCCTACTCTGTCAGACTTGGTAGAAAACAACCAGCAAGTTAAGAGCTTATGTGGAAAATGACAGACTGACACAGACATAGAAGCTTTTCTTTCTATGATTTATGCAGGAAGGTGAATCAGCCATAGACAGTACAAAAACTCGAAGAAAGGTAAAGTTGATCGGGATTAACATAAACAATAATATAGAAACTGTTGGAAATTCATACAGGACACAAAACAAAACAGAAAAATTCATGACCAAGAGAATGAGGGACTTTAAGAAAGAGTTTTTAAAGAAATAACTGAAAAAAAAATTAAGAAATTAGTCTCTGACTAATTGAAACTGTCAGTCAAGGTACAAGCATTCCGTAAATCTTTCTGATTGAGGAAAAAGCCAGATGCTAAAGCTTTATGCTTCTCATATTTATCAAATACTCTCTCTCCATCCATCTCAAAAGATACTAAAACTGTAACTACAGGACATGTCTGAAATCTGCAGCTCCAGGTGATTGGCATGTGAGTTTTAAAAGAGCTGGAAGCTCATTTCCACTCGCATGATGACCTCACACCAACACCACTGCTCCTTTGCCAGAGCCAGTATGGTGGCTTTGCAGCAGGACATGCCCATTACCTGTCCCAAACTAAGCCCTGAACCCAAGGACATAGAAGACCCCGATGTTCACAGAATCATAAAATGGTTGAGGTTGGAAGGGACCTCTGGAGATCATTTAGTCCAACACCCCTGCTCAATCAGAGTCATCTAGAGCACATTGCCCAGGACCATTGTCCAGGTGCCTTTTGGAATATCTCCAAGGATGGAGACTCCACAGCCTCTCTGGGCAACCACTTCCAAGGCTCAGTCACCCTCACAGCAAAGTTTTTCCTCATGTTCAGCCAGACCTTCCTGTGTTTCAGTTTGTGTCCGTGGCCTCTCATCCTCAGTGGGCACCACTGAGGACAGTCTGGCCCCATGCTCTTTACATCCTCCCTTCAGAAACTTATACACATGTTGTCCTGGCACAAGGGATTGCTCACACCTGACTGTGTGCAGGCTTGTGCCAGAAAGGACATTTTCTTTTCTGCTCAGCAGGTCCCATTTTGTGCTCCCTGTTGGTTTCCAATTTGATTGCAGTATTGCTGAGGCCAGACATTGTCCAGCCAGAGGGGGCAAACAGAACAGTGCAAATTCCTGCAATATGTGGGGTGGGAGCTGGGGCAGAGAATTACAGTGATTTAGCCAAAGTCATCAGAAATGACTCCATGAAAGAGGCAGAGACAAACCACGTATTTTCTGTGCTCTTCTCTCCAGTACCCTTTTAAGAGAGAGCCATTGCCCCAGTGACCAGGCTGAAAGTCTTTGCAGAGCTCTGAGAAAATTCCCTGGCCCCCCATGCGGAGGAGTTAAGGGAAGGGGAGAAATAAGGGCAGGGCAAGGAGCTGGGATACTTGACGTTGTGAGAGGCAAAGACAGGATCTTAGCCCCCATCCACCTGGGTCATCAGATCAGAGTATTAGAGCATGGCAGGAGGGGCAGATGTTTAAGACCTCCCGCCTCCTCTTCTCCCAGCCAGTCATGCTTGCTTCTTGCTTTCATCCCATTCTCTTTCCACTTCCAGATCCAGAAAAGCCATAGGAAGTCTTGTGTCAGGAAGGGTGCAAGAGGGGCAAGAGAAGGTATGAAAGCTACTGAGAGTCATTTGGCCCAGCCCTGTGTCTGCAGGTGGTGGAGGGTGTCTGAGGAACGGGGACAGCTCTGCAGTTTGCTGGAGGTGTTGAAGACTGGGACTGGGGCAGGCAGAAAGGGGAAAGTGAAGCAACAGGTCACAGGGCCCAGGAGAAGCAGCAGGAGCAGCTGGGAGAGGAAGGTGGGAAGCTCACCCCTGGACTATCCCTGGCAAGCCTCCCTGGGCAGTCCAGATGTTACAGAGACATTTCAGATGCTCTGCAGGGAGGGGGCTGCACACCATTTTGGTCTGGAAGGTTGAACCTTCATAAATTGCCCAGAGACCCCTGTGTGTTAATCCATGTCTGCCTTCAGTGTTCAGCATGGCCAAATAAAGGAAAGTTCACCGAGGCAGCCAGAGCCAGAGGAGTTCCTCCTTCCCCTTGAAGGTGTAAAACTCAAGGTGCTCCACAAGGCAGTAAGGGATCCAGAAGCAGCAGCTTAGTTGTTTCTCCTGTTCTTCCTCTCCCTCACAACTCTGGGCCCCTGCTTCTTTTTCCCCAGACTCCTGATCTGGACAACACATTTTCCTCATCTCTGCTCTATTCTTGGTGAGCCCTTCTTCACTTCCTTCTGCCTGCCCGTGGCTTTGGTCCCGGCGCTACTGAAGAGCTACTGCATAAAGTTTGGGCCACTAATCCTCTTCAAGGATTGGTCCTTGACCATGTATGTCTTGTCCTTATTAATTTCTCTATCCCATAAAGCTGTGCATCAACTCATCCTTCCAGGACTTGTGGACATGGGTTCAATATTCTCATAATACAGACCGGAAGTATGGTAGATGCAGAGCCTTTCCTCAGAAAGGTATCCAGAGCAAAAACTTCATTAGCTCATAAGATATTATGATGGGTATAAAATCATGGTGTCCTAGGCAGCAGTATTAATTTGTCCATGCTCCAAATCTTGTCCATTTGCTTACATGGAAATAGTACACAATAAATTCATGGATTAATAATGGATGAATTAATAAGGCAGGAAGACCCCCAGTTTTATCCGTTTATGGGCTGACAGTCCATCCTGTGCATGGACAGCTGGTTTGGCATGCCCTGGAAACACTGGACTCGTAGCACATACATACACTTTTGCTTTTGCTCTTGCTCGTGAAACCATGGGTAGGACTACGGCCAGCCCATCCCGATAGTGTGTCTCACAGCCTATCCAGTCAGTTTGAGATGATTTATTCAGAGGGAATTCAACCTCAAGGAATCCCCTCACCAGCTCCCCTGCAGAACCACAGACCTGGTTCTTAAAAAATGCTTATTACTTGATAGCCTACGTTTCCTTTTACTCTATTTCATCTTTAACTCTGTTTTACCTACTGAGAATAACTGTTCTTATTGCTTATTCCTTTCTGGCTTTGTGATTACTGTGTTCTCCAAATAACTGCTGCAAATTGCTACTATTTCCAGCTCAATGTATCCAGTACTCTGTCCTTTATGTTTTAAACTTTATTGACGTATTTATTCATTTATTTATTTCTCAGGGAAAGCAGACGGAACAAGGTTTTCCATTACACATTGTCATAAGAAAAATCAATACAACAAGTAACATTTGCTTAAAATATTTATGCAGCTAGATCATTCAGGGTCACATGCATTTCTTTTAATTAATAACATCTTACTGTGTGCAATACAAGAAGTCACATCTGATCATTAAAATGGCACACCTTTCAAACCCTTAGCAGGGTTACTCAAGTCAACACCAGGTGATGAGCTTACCTTTAAACATTTAACCTAATTCTCACCTCCTTTTTGAGCTGTTGTGAGTTCACCACAACCTGTGTGGTCACAGTCAGACCCTTCAGTGCCAATACAGCTGACACCACGGCTATGTAGTCACATCTGGCTTCTTGTGCAGCTTTCTGATGATCTGCCTACGTATCTGTTTGGTTTTCACACTGTACACAATGGGGTTCATCAGTGGTGGGACCAGCAAGTAAATGTTGGCCATGAGGATATGAGCAATGGGAGAAGCATTTTTTGCAAACCTGTGAATCATAGACAGACCAATCATGGGGATGTAGAAAATTAGGACAGCGCAGATATGGGAAATGCAGGTGTTCAAGGCCTTAGAACGCTGCTCCTTGGATGTGATACTCAGGACAGTTTTAAGGATCATAATGTAAGACAGAACAAGTAACAGTGAGTCCAGGGCCATTGAGGAAAGAACAACCAATAAGCCATAAATGCTACTGACTCTCCTGTCTGACAGGGCCACCCTGATGATATCCTGGTGTAGACAAAAAGAGTAGGAAAGAATGTTTACTGCATGATATTGCAGCCTCTTCAGGAGAAAGGAAGCTGGGAACACCAAAAGTACTGCCCGGATGGTCAGCCCCATACCGATCTTGTGACCACTGAGTTTGTCAGGATGGATGCATACCTCAGAGGCTCACGGATGGCGACAAAGCGGTCAAAAGCCATGGCCAAGAGCACGGCAGATTCGACAATGGAGAAGGTGTGGATGAAGTACATCTGGACGAGGCACACATCAAAGTGGATGGCTCGGTAATTGAACCAGAACACACTCAGCATTGTTGGCAAGGTGGTGGAACAAAGACCCAGATCGGAGACCGCCAGCATGGAGAGAAAATAGTACATGGGCTCATGGAGTGTCTGCTCTGTTCTGATAATGAAGAGAATTATGCAGTTTCCCACAAAGGCTGTGAGATACATGGAACAAATTGGGATAGAAATCCACACGTGGATATGCTCCAGACCAGGCAACCCGGTCAGAAGAAAGACAGGAGAAGTGAAAACTGAATCGTTGGTTGTAGATATAGTATCCATGCGTATTCCTATTAATTTTGAAGTTAATGTCCCCGTGATAAAATAGCACTGGAACAGTCAATGACAGGGAAAAGGAAGTCCTAAACCAGAGTTTTTCAACCGGTGATGGAAGCCTTGTGGTCCAAGGGCTACAGAGAAGTTACCAAGTATAACTATGAAGTCTATCTAATTATCTGAAATTTCTAATTTCAGTGATGATCTGGAAAAATATTTAGGGAGCCATAGACTGAAAAGGCTGAAAACCATTGCCCTAAATTCATTAAAACATTATCATATAGAATCATGGAGTAACATGGAGAATCATGGAGTAATTTAGGCGAGAAGGGACCTCTGGAGGTTTCCGGTCCAACTGCCGCCTCAGAGCAAGGCCAACCTCAAAGTTACTGCAGGTTGCTCAGGCCTGTATCCAGCTGATTTTCGAATATCTCCAAACCAGAGATAAAACAATGTTTCTGAGCCCCCCTGCCAGTGTTTGACCACCTGCATGTGGATTTTTTTTTTTCATTATATCTAATAGGAATGTCCCCTGCTCCAGCTTATGCTGTTGCCTCAGTTCTTCCAAATAGTTTTTATTCCCACTTACAGCCTCTTCTTCAGGAGCTGAGATCACCCTGAGTCACAGCTAACAATCTTCTTTTGGAGATATATCCCTCAGTTCAGTTTGGAGTCCCTCTTTCCTACAGCAAGAGTGATTTTTTTTTTCTTTTTTGGAATTTCCCATGGAACTAAAAATGCAGTTTCCTGCCAGGTTCGATTGTCTCATTTACTGTCAGTTTGAATGCTTTTCTGTTGAAGGCACGATACCCACCCTTTCCATAGAGATAGATACATAGGTGAGCATTCATAAAACACCTGGCATTTATGGTAGTACTCACAAGATGAATACAGTGAGCTTCTGTGTTTTTCGTCTAATTGTACAGTTTTCAGCAAAAGTGAAATTGAACTCCGGTTGCTTTGGGTTCAGCTGTAACTTGGAATCCACGAAGAGGCAAAAATGAAAAGGCTCAGGAGGCCAGATCAATCTTCCTTCTAAACCAGTGATGAGATTATATCTTCCATAGCAGTGATAAACCCCAGGTGAGACTTTACCAAACCTGGACAGAGTAAAAGAATAATTGCAAATATCACAAGGTAATATTGCTATGGGTGCACTCCCCAGTGATGTCCACCTTCTTCTCTGTAACAACATGCTGGTGACTTATGCTCAGTTTATACATGTCATCGTCATCTCACCAGTCTTTCCTGCTGTTCACCTGGTTGTTTCGCAGTCTGAACGTAAATTTCATTCTATTTATTTTTTTTCAGATCGTTCCTCCAATTTGTCAAAATTACTCTGGCACTAATTTTGCTTTTCTCCGTGCTTTCAAAGAAGCTGTCAGTTTAATAAGTATTTTCTTTACTCTGTTCCAGACTAGTATCAGACCCAGGATGCTCCTTTCCGACTCCCACTTGATCTGTCATTCCAGTAGTGCAGTACATAAGAAGCTGGTTTTGAATCTTTCCTATAACAGTTCAAGCTTAGTAATGTTCTCTGACTTGTTTATGAAAATATTGTCAAGAATTCACAGCAAGTATTAAGACAGGTTTCTTTTCCCCCTATGTACAACTTTGTTACCTTTCCATAGAAGGGAAATGATCTGTTTAATATGACTTGTATTTGACAAGTCCATAAAAGTTTCTGCTTCTCCTTTATTTACCTAAGAGTACAATTTGATCATTTGTTTATGCATAGTTTTCCATGGACTGTGACTAAACTTTAGCCAAAAATTTAAACTTAGGAATATGGATATCTCGGGAAGTTCCTAAACCACAGATTGCTAGAAGCTGGGAGGTTATTTAGCTAATGTATGACAAGCTATATAATCAAAATAAGCAGTATGAGGGCCTACGGTCTAGCCCTGGGCTGACTGGCACAGCCCAGCCTCGACCACACCGTTAAATTGTACAAGACCCCAGAAGAAGGTAACCAGCGCCAAATGCGGGTCCGCCCTGGTGCGGGCTCAGCCCAGCTCCACCTGGGGGCTGCCTGCAGCAGTTTGCTGGTCCAGGCCAAGACCGTGCCACGGACAGGCCTAAAAATTTATCGGCTGTGATGGCCAGCACTTAGCCCTCGCACTAGATTGTTTGCTACCATGGGCTCTGTCTGCACCGGCTCCGCTCTTCTGCTTTCTTGGAGCAACGGTGCTGGCTGCTATTACAGTTCAGATACTCCGCTTACTGAAAGTTTGCATGTGGCCTAGAGGACTCTTCCCTCTCTGTAGTTTCTGGACCTCTTTTTTTTTTTTTCCAATTAAAAAGTTTTTTTTTCTGCCTTCTTCCGGTTCTTCTGGTATTTCCTCCCTCCCGCCCCATAGTAGCTGAATGGCAGCAAAGTGGTAAAACTACTTTCTGTAGTAATACCTGAGATGAGATCAGTACATTACAGTGAAATTGAAATAAGGCCATTGCCTTGAATAGAATTTCTGCAGATTCACACCAGTTTCACTGAAAAATATCAGGTGCTAAATCCTAAAAAAGGAGGACAGGCTATATATGCCACCTCAGGTTCCACCACGCTCAGATGACCAGAGTATGGTGCAAACACTGTAAGTCATAGAGAAACTGGAAAAAGTTTCAAGAGCAACATCTTGTTTAGCTTCCCATCAATGACTAAGAACTAAGTGAAGAATCTGAAGGACCAGAACACTGATTTGTAAGCAAACACTGGAGAGACGGATGTTTAGACAAAGATGCTTTCTTACCTGAATCACAGAGCCTCTGCTGTGGCCAGTGCGACAGAATCAAAGCCTTCTGCTTGTCATGCTCTCTAGATAATGCCAAAAATCCCTTAAATGTATTTTGCATGGGAGGTGTATGCACCCCTGAGAGAGGATTTATAATAAAGCCCTGCAGTCCCTGTAGTGACCTAGTCTGCTGGGAATCTCAGCTAATATTTATTGCTTGAAACAGCAAATCACCTTTAATAGAGCATAAGCAGTGAAAAACTCCTGTGTATTATTTCAATTTAGAATGATTTCACCCTGTTTAAAGTTCTATGTTTAATTTTTTTTCCTTTTTTTTTAATCTCACTGACTGCAAAAGGCAGAAATGGATGAATCTAAGACAAAGACTGTCAGGTAGGTGTACAAGCATGTTCCAGCTGAACCAGAGCCCTGCAGCAAGGCCAGCCAGCTCCTGGTCTCATTTCAACAGAATAATGTACATGATTATACGCTCACATGTCTTCCTCATAAAAGCCAAGGTCCCCTCCCAGATTCCTGGGTGTGCGGGTAACAGCCCTGAGTGTCGGGGCTGCTTTCTTGGGGGCTGAGATTTAAACCCGCCTGGGTTTCAATTCAATTCAGTTGAAACCAGCCTGGGATTATGGGGTTGTGCCCCCATCCAGGAGGACTGTGACCACTGTGCATGTCCGGGAGAGAAGCGAGCAGGACAAGGGGAATAAGCTTAGCTGGAAGAGATGCTGGTGACTTTTCTGGGCAACACTCAGGGCAGGTGTCCTGTGCAGGAGGCTGGATCCACATCAGCCAAGAGAGTGCTGGTCCCCGCAGCTCCTCTGCTAGAGGAACCCCAGCATGGCCCTGGGAGCTCCTCTGGGTGACCTGGGAAGGACGTGGAGGGTGTTCCACAGGAGCGATTGTCCTTATCACCTCTCTTCACCTCTTGCTCCGCTGGTTTGACACTTGCCCGTGCCATGGTGTGCTAACAGCTCTGCACTGTGTGCAGCACCAGTCTGACCACAGTCATCTCCAATGTCTGCTTGTCTGTTTGAGCCTGCACTGAGAGGACAATGTGTGGAGAACTTCCTGCTACAGGTGATCCTAGCGGTAGTGGTTGCATCTTGTAGCACAGGAGACTTCCCCAGCCCCTGACCATCCCTGCCTTCCTTCACTATATTCAGGGCAGAGTGAGGACAGGTGGGCATGCTCCTCTTCTGTGCGCGTTGGACTGAGGAGAGGAGACCAGGCAGGAGCTGTTCAGGGGGAGAATGTTTCTGCAACTGCTCTTTCAGCAAGTAACCGCTTTGCATTTGACATAAATGGAAACGCCCCAGCTCTAGCTGTTGTCCCAGTGACTGGGAGGCAGGAAGGTCCCCTGCAGTGCTTCTGTGCACGACACCATGACCGTGCCAGTGCCTGAAAAGCCGATGAACCCAGGGTGGAGAGGGAGCCAGGCCACGCAGGAGGTGCGGACACCAAAGGGCTGTGTGATCGTGTCCTGCTGCCTGTGCCGCTCGCTTGGAGCTAGGCTCAGAGCGTGGGAGGTTTCTGGTTTAGGTAGCTGCTGCACTGAAGATCTTTCCTACTGCTCCTGGCTTTGGAATAATTATTATTAAAGATATAGTATCCCCATGCACTGGCAATGTGCACCAGTCCCCCAAAGCTATGAGCCCAGTGCTGGTCTCCACCACAGGCTCCTCACACCGCCAAAGGTGAACAGAGAAAGCCTTACTGCATGGGACCCACAGGGAGCACAGCCAGGGTACCGATGCCAGCCGTGGTGGGGATGGTGCGGTGTGGCACCCTAGGAGGGCTCATTGGCCAGACCCTGGGACGTGGCTGGGGACCGCAGGGCAGCTACATCCTCCCGAGCCAGTCACATGGGTGTGCTGGCTGCAGTGCATGGACAAACAGCCCAGCTGCTGCCACCAGCTCCCAGGGATGGGCACTCGTCTGCCCAAACACAGGTTGGTGTCCTGTGTCTCCAGGAGGAGCCCCTCCAGCCAGCCCTGCCTGCCCTAATCTGGTCACGCCGAGCTACAGACTGGTTTGTGGCTTCCCTGGCTTTGAAACTGGGTTATCATTTGAGCCCTTTCCAAGCGCTCTCAAGGAAATGAGTAAGGTAGGACTAAACAGTCCTATGGTCCTGAGCGAACCCATGCAGATGTGGTGGAGCACAGGAGAATTCACTCCACCTCTGACCTCTCTGGGCTGATCTTCAAGGCAACTGGCAAAAACACCATGAAAACAAGCCTGAGAGTGTAAATTCATAATTCCACTGGATGCTAAAAGGATGAATTAAATTGAGATGTGAGATGTGCCATAAATCTCAGGGCTGTTCTTCTCGAGCTATATTTAGCTTTGAAGATTGCTACCTCTCAGCTTGTGAGTTCAAAAGATGTTTTATGGTTTATCTGACTAAGTTCATTTATTAAAAGATAGCACCTCTTGCCACAAGCCATTTTTGTCTAGCATATCTGTAGCTACATAGTCACAGTTGCTAGATATTTATAATTATATTTGTATAGCTACAGCGAATGCTACCTCTGCTAACTCTGCCCTTGGATGTTCTGCAGTTTGCCTGGTACAGCTGCTAGGGAGCGAGGGTGTGTGTGTGTCTTTCGTTTCACAGATTCCTTCCAGCTTAGGATACATGGCCCTCTGTAAAATAGGAATGGTGAACTGAGCAGAAGTGTAAACAGCACCTTAAGAAGATGAGGTTTGAAATCAGTTTTCAGCTGCATCCTGAGATGCAGGGACCTCATTCTGCTTTAAAATTCTGTGCTGAAAAATACAGGCAATCAGCCTAAAGGCTCTTCTTGGTGCATGTGTTTTCTAAAATGGCTAAAAAAAACCCTAACATAACGAGTTATAACTATTCCCAAAAATGGGTAGGAGAAGGGCATTATGGCTGAATCATAAGACCTGGGGGTTGCAATCGGGGCACATGGGACACTAAAAGCATTTCCAGCAGGCAGTAGTGCTTTGCATCTTATAATTTTGCTTGTCTGAATAGTGTTGCAATAAAACATCATGAAAAATCTTTACTTCATTCAAGGTGTTGTCCTGCCATTTCAGTGCGATTTTAACAAGTGAGCAAGGTATAGCAGTCAGGCATCTCTCCCTCTCGAGTGGAGCTCTGCAACGTCGTGTGAGCTGGAGCACCCCACACTGCAGAAGACCAGTGCTCTGACCTCGTCTGCTGCGCTCACGGCCCAACGAGGAACAGGAGTCTCCACCTCCGGTTTGTATGAAAGAGTCCAGGCTGGGAAAATGGGAGATCCTCAGAATCCCATCAGGGTTTCAAAGCCACCAGGGAGTTTTTCCTCGAGGAAAGGAAAAACACAAATCTGCTATTTACGCCTGGCTGAGTGAGCGAGTGAACTCTCTGGTGAGCTTCTGTCAGCCTGCTACTTCTTTGGCTTTTCCCATGGATCAGACACAGGAGCAATGAAATTTAATCACGGATTTAGGGATTGCACAAAAAAATCAAGGCAGCCTTAAACCTGCAATTCCCTCCAAAATGAACAGCAACACACAGGGATGAGCCAGGCTTTTCCCGGTGGCCAGAAGGTGCTTTACGTGGCTCCAAATCCCCAACCCCACGGGAGAGGCAGAATGGAGAAATAGAGCAAACCACCCAGGTCCACAAAGGCAGAGCCAGCACCAGGCATGAGCTCTAGGACAGAGTCAAGATGCTTGAGCTTCACAAACTCAGGAATATGGTTTAAAACACAGGTTGTCATTCTGCTTCAAACCTTTGTGCATTAAACGGAGCAAGTTAATTTTGTTAATTTTTTGCATGCAAGGCCTGGTATCTGTTTACTTGTAAGATGACATTTTAATGTTGCCTATTGAGACATGGCCAGGTAGTGATCAAAGGCCACCGCCAGAAGCACCGAGGACTCCACGAAGGAGAGTGAATGAACAAACTAACTCTGAGAAAAAAGGCATGGAATCAATTTCTCTGAAACTTACTCAGAAAGTACACATAACAGCTGGCACTGTAGACAGAGACAACCCCAAACCAGTGACAGTGACAGCAGAGAGGTCGTGGCACATGGGCTCGTGGGGGTTGGCCCGCTCCCAATGACAGATAGGACCGTGCCGTTTGCCAGGGTCGAGAGGTGCAGCGATGGGAGAGCCAGCTGTGGGCAGCTTCCAACCATGGGAGGTTCACCTGCCAGGGTGAACATGCATAGATGGAAACTGTCAGTTTTGGAAGACATTTTATTCGGTTAAGGTGGAAAACTGATTGTGGTTCAAAAACTGAAGGAAAAAATGCACATTCTAGTGAAAAATACAGTTATAAATTCCTTACCTCTGAACTCACAAGCTTTCAGTGCAGTTTTGTGGTTAATACCATAAACCTCATATCTGAAATAATCTAGCTCATGAACATTTTACCTTTTAAGAACATGGGAGTTATACTTTTTATCCACATATGTGTGAGCTTTTTATAATTATTATTACTGCTGTTGGAACATGAAGCATTATTTATGTTTCTCAGGAAAGCGCAAGGTGGCTCCTCAAAACATTTATTTTTCTTTGAAATGAACGAAAACTTTGAGCAGAGCCAAAAAAATTTAGCATGAGCGTCATTCAACCAAAACTTCATTAAAGATTTCAGTGAAAGACAGAAACAGGTTTAGAAACTGCAGCATCATGGGGCTTCCCTTCAAAAGATACTTGAGCCTAAAAAACTGCTGGAGGATTCAGCTTGATATTCCTTGGAGAATCTAGCATTTAATCTATCTTGCACATTAAATGGCTCTAGCAACTTCGCGTCCCGCTTCCTTCAGATGGGATCCTCTGCATTAGCACCCACTGACTGACCCAGCAGACTAGCACAGTTACTTTCTCCTGTATTTAGAGACCAACCATTGCTGCAAACAGGCCAAGAGGAACCGCCACGTGCACTGCACAGGGGTTTAAATTAGGTCCTTTCACCCCTAGCTCAAAGCAATGAGCTTGATCATTATTTAAAGTCTGCATATGTGTCAGGGATTTCTGAAAGAAAGGGGGCTGGTTAATGCAGCAGGAAAAGCTTAACACTGTGTGTTGGAAGAAAAGAACAACAGGTTTAAGGTAAAACAAAGTGTAGTCTTTAACTGAGACTATAATTAACCACTGGAACAAGTGACTGCAGAGGTTGGTGAACTCTCTGTCTCTAAAAGCATTTCACCCAGTACTCGACTCTTTCTGAAAGCTCTCCACACCACTGAAATTATTTATGTGGAGTTCAGAACGTTTGGGAGAAACTTTAGAGTCAAAGTAATGGATGACATCAGACCCATAGTCTCAGCCGTCTTTAAAAGCTGCGGTCCTCTGAGTCAGAAAGAAAAACCTTATCTAATTCTGGATTAAAGGAACAGAAATAGGCAAAATTGCTCAAAAATGCTTCTGCATTTAATTCTGCTTCCTCCGTTTCTGGCTGGGCCCATTGGCTGGCTCTGGTGGAGGACATCCCGTGGCAACTGTCCGGCTGCAAAACTCCGTGCCACGTGCCCTGCAAACCCCGGCCTTCGCCCGCATTCCCTGCAGCCGTGCAGGGTGCAGGGTTCTCCTAAACTTGGAAGAATCAGTCTTTTGAATCTCCACAGATACGCATTATTGATAGGAAATGTTCCCTGACTACCAGCACTGAATCTTAGAGATATCAGCAGTGTTTTATAGTTGGCTGCACCCAACCGACAAAGTGTGTCCTCCGCAGCTATGAAATGTATATGATGATAAATCATATGTATCATATGATAGCATATAAATATAGACTCTTTACTGAGTGATTCAACAGTTTTACAAGCCCTTCCTTCTTATTTTTATTTATGCAAACAGAAGCCCATAAGTACAGATCATTTTGGCATGCAATGTATTACCAGAAATACACTTATCAATGGAAGAAGCACTTGAATCCCTGCTGTGAAACAAACAAAAGAACAAAATATTCTATCAGGTTGCTGTTTTTTGAACAATATCCCTTCTCCTTCCACATCTTTTGTCTGTCTTTCCTTCTTGGGACCACCACCGCCAGAAGCACCGAGGACTCCATGAAGGAGAGTGAATGAACAAACTAACTCTGAGAAAAAAGGCATTGAATCAATTTCTCTGAAACGTACTCAGAAAGTACACATAACGGCTGGCCCTCAATGACTACTCTCAGTATGCTCCACAATATTCTCAATGTTGTCTTCACTTATTTTTCGTGCTCCTCAACTTTTTCCTTCCTGTTTTTCCCATCACTTGTCTCTCCAAAGAGATTTCTACCAACCAGCCCAAGCCCACTACAAGCTTTTTTTTAACCCGAAGTCTATGCCATTAATTCAGGACACGTCAATTTGTATAAATAGAAACCTTTCCTCTTGGTGTATCCGGTTCCTTTGCTTGCTAGCACTCGCCTCTCTTCGCAGGCTTCTCACCTGGCTAAAGAATTAAGAACTGGATTTTCCCAACTAACAGCCCTATCTTTGAATCACAGCCATTAAATAATCCTTTAATTCCTTATCTATGGATAGCCACATGACTGATCCATATATAAAAAATTAGAGGCACACCATCAAAGTGGCACAGAAGTCCAATACTGATATCTATATATCTGAAAAGTCTATGATTGAAAGTTTGATTTTTTCTTTGTCATTTAGCACTTTTTTTTTGGAAAATCGTCTCTGCCCCGGAACAGAAGCAATTATTATTAGTGGCATTTATTATTTGTACTTTCGCCATAGGTTGAAGTACTGGTCAGAGAATTTAATATGATATTTAAGGTGTAGAATGAAAACACCATCCCTGCTACTGAGAGCTTTGAATCAAAGGACAGGACAGGAGAAAGAAATGAGAGGAGAACAAGAACATGAAACACCACGGGTCATCATGAAAAGGAGCCACACACTGAGTGACATCTGGCAAACTAGAGGATATATTACAAAATATGAATTTCACGAGCAGAATGAGCTGGAAAGTGGAGTGGGTAGAGAATTTGTTAAGATGTACAATGACTTAAATTTCAATTTTCGTGTAAAGCCTATTATCAAAATCATCCGGAAAAATCAAATTTCTAATGCAGTAAACAAATAAGACAAATACCAAGTACTCATGCATGACTATTGCACTAACGCTAATATTGGCTTATGACTGGTTGTACAGTCTTTAAATGGAACAGTTAGCATTATTCAGGTACTTAGAATGAAAAGCATTTAAAGGAGTCACAGGACAGGATTAACTACAGGAAATTATGGGCTATAAAATGCTCTAATGGTTGCTTACAATCTTTGAATCTGCAAAAGCCCGTGGCTGTCACAGGGATGGACCTGGGATGGACACTGCTCATCACAAGCAAAGGGAGCGACTCAGTCACAGGTCTGACTCACTTCATGCACTGGGATTTCTGATGAATAATTATTAATGTATGTATGGGAATAACAGTTAATAACTGCATTGAGTGTGTGCCCTGTATGAGGGAAAGCAAATGCATTTTCCAAATGATGAACTGAAATCTGGATCATTATATTAAGTTGATGCCTCCCAGAGCAGTGACCTCTGTCAAGGACATCTCTCAAGTCCCATGATGCCACGAGGAGAACACGCTCCTTGGCAGGAGGAGCCTGAGGACGCCCCTGTGGATCTGTTTCATTTTAATGCTGTAGATGATGGGGTTCAGCACAGGGGGGACCAGCAGGTGGATGGTGGCCATGAGGGTGTGAACGAGAGGGGAAGCACGTTTGCCAAAATGGTGCACCGTGGACAAGCCAACCATGGGGATGTACAGTACTAGGACTGCCAGGACATGGGACAAGCAGTTGTTTAAAAGCTGGAGACGCTCACTTGGGGATGCAATGCTCATGACTGTCTTACAAATCATAATATATGACAAAACAATGAGCAATGGATCTAATACTACCACAAGAATGACCACTGCTAAACTATACAGACTGCTGAACGTGATGTCTGCACATACCAGCTTGATCAAGTCCTGGTGCAGGCAGTAGGAGTGGGAGAGCACATGGGACCGGCAGAAGGGCAACCTTCTCAGCAGGCAGAGCCCTAAGAGACATCTGCACAGGGCAGCCAGCCCGATCTTGGCTAGCCTGGTGCCGGTGAGGCTGGAGGAGCATCTCAGTGGGTAGCAGATGGCCACATAGCGATCAAAGGCCATGGCCAGAAGCACCGAGGACTCCATGAAAGAGAATGAACGAATAAAAAAGAATTGAGCAAAAAAAGCAGCAAAACCAATTTCTCTGGCATTAAACCAGCAAATGCCCATCACGGTTGGCATTGTAGACAGAGACAACCCCAAGTCTGTGGTGGCCAGCATGGAGAGGAATTGGTACATGGGCTCATGGAGGCTCGGATCAGTCCTGATGACAAAGAGGATTGTGCAGCTCCCTGCCAGTGCCGCAATGTAAATGCAAGCGAAAGGGATGGAGAGCCAGACGTGGGCAGCCTCCAGCCCCGGGATGCCCATCAGGATGAATGTCAGCTGAGAGGAGTTGGTCCTACTGCAACACAACATGACGAACTAGAGCACAAAAAGGCAAGATAAACCTGTAATCAGTGAACCAAAGAAAAATATGTAACCTAGAAACAACCCAAAATCATAAATCAGCAAAATCTAAGCAAATAGATTTATGTTACATGCACTGGCAATTTCAAAGTGCTGCAGTACAAATCATTATGTACTTGAAAGCATAATGGTACAGAAACATAGTGCAAAAAGATATAATCATTGTACTCTGCTATGACAAGAATAAATACCATATAGCCCAGGAGCCTGATTTCTTCATTTACCTATTACTATTGTAAATGTCAATATGCAATATTACTGTTATTATCAACATTATTATTTTAGGAAGAGGGAGAAAAGTTTGTAATTGTCCCACAGATTAATACCAAGTAATCAAATATACTAGGTGAAGCAAAGATATTTAATGTTAATTTCCCCTGCGAATTTCGCATTTCACTTAACAGAGTCAGGAGACTCTTGCATCACTGACACGGTTTTTCACTCCAGAAATAAGAAGTTCTCTTTAAACACTGAATTTAGAAGTGCTGTCAATTTTTTAGATTGTGTCCGGATGGCTTCCCAGTCCCACTGCGGAATGAGATATAGTTTCATGCCAGTTGTCGTCCGTCCTCTCCTCCCTCTTCCCACATGACATACACTTTGATACCTTGGCTTCAAGGAGCCTCGAATGACTGAGAAACTGAAGCTCTGAGAGCTGTTGATCACACACTTCTCACCCAGCTAAACGCAGCCAGGGAATGTCCTCCAAGTCTCTATGTTGATTGCCCATGGTTTAGAGCAGATTCTTGGAGAAACAGCTGAAAGGAGAAATATATTGTTTTCGTAAATACAAACTGAGACACCATAAATTCTGCATGTTTATTTTATCCATGGAAAATTTTGTGAGTACCTGGCAGGTACACAAGATTTCTAATCCAAACATCTTTTAAACAGCAATAAAGCATAACAAGTCATAGCAGCATAAATCTGAAAAAGTCATACCAGGCATTAAGTTCTGATTTTATGCTAAGCTGGTAAAACTGAATTAAAATATAATCGATTTGCCATTGTGGTTAGGAAGCAAGTTGATTACTGCCTACCAGTACCTTCAAGAGAAAGAGATTTCTGAAAACAGAACGCCCTTTGATATGGCAGAGAAGGCAGAAGAAGTTTTATCTCTTGAAAGCGAAAGGGTTTGGCAGCTAAATTAAAGCTAGGAGCACTTTTTAGCAGTAATTTAACATTATCCAGTGGGAACAACCAACCTTAGAAACTACGGATTCTCTTCTGCCTGAAATAATCCCCTGCACCAGTACAGACTGGGGGTTGACCCGCTGGAAAGCAGCTCTAAAGAGAAGGACCTGGGAGTGCTGGTGGACAACAAGTTAAACATGAGCCAGCAATGTGCCCTTGTGGCCAAGAAGGCCAATGGTTACAAGAGAGACATGGCACTCCTGGAGAGAGTCCAGCGGAGGGCTACCAAGATGATTAGAGGGCTGGAGCACCTCTCCTCTGAAGAAAGACTGCAAGAGCTGGGCCTGTTCAGCCTGGAGAAGAGAAGACTGAGAGGGGATCTCATCAACGTGTACAAGTATCTGAAGGGGGAGTGTCGAGGGGATGGGGCCAGCCTCTTCTCCGTGGTGCCCAGCAACGGGACAAGAGGCAATGGGCAGAAACTGAACCACAGGAAGTTCCACCTGAACCTGAGAAAAAACTTCTTGACTGTGAGGGTGACAGAGCATTGGAACAGGTTGCCCAGAGAGGTAGTGGAGTCTCCTTTGCTGGAGATATTCAAAACCCGTCTGGACGCAATCCTGGGCAATGTGCTCTAGAGGTTGGACTAGATGATCTCCAGAGGTCCCTTCCAACCTAAACCATTCTGTGATTCTGTGATTCTGTGAAGTCTTCAAAGCGCAACTGGAGGAAATTTCATTTCAAAGTGAGCTCCCTGATTTAATGCTAGTAAAATGTGATCACCTGGGTCATCATAGAATTGATAGGAAATATGCCCGAAAGGGCCCTCAGGAGACCACTCTCCCATTTCTGATGAACCGCCAGAAATCGTCAATGAGCCACAGAAGGACAGTTCACTAGTCCATTGCCTGTCCGAAGGCAGGATCTGCCTATGCCATGCCATTCCTGACAGACACCTGCTCAGTCTGGTTTTAAAAGTGCCAATGATGGCAAACTGGCCCTCTCCCTAGGCAATCTAATCCAGTGTTTCACTGCCTTCACCCCTCTCTCATGGTGACTCTCCTTCCCTGCAGGCTAAACCCATCCTTCCTGGCAGTGCCCACAGAGGTCACAAAGAAGAATTTATTGTCTTCTCCATGGCTCTGCTTTACATACTAAAAGACAGTTATCTTTGCTCTTTTGTTCTCTAAGCTACACAGTCCAAGCTCCTTTAAGTTTTCCAGGTCATGCTTCATTCTTGAGGCACACCTCTAACCTTTCTTTGGTTGGTCTGCTTTATTCTTGAATTGTAGAATAAAGACCAAGTGACCTCACTGGTCCCTTCCAGCCGTAAAATCTATGACCTGTGGAAAAATGAGCAAGGAGCAACAGGAAGAAGCAAATATCAAGGTAGAAATCTGAATGGAAACTTACAAACAATACCTGCATTTCAGCTTCATTTTGCTCCCACATCTTCGTGGTGCTGTGATCATGGGGAGTTAAAGATCATATTAGTCTTTCCTTCTCACTGCATTGAAAAGTTTAGTCCTGTCAAGGATGAAAGCTTCTGAAAGAGGTGAAGAAACAAGGCCTAGGTGCTCCCTCCCTCTGCTGCCCACACAGAGCTATTTATAATATTTTCCTGCTGAGAATGAGCATTTTATGAGCAATCCACAGGCAGAATGAGAGTGTCCCTGGGAAGTGAAGTGTTGCTGTGAAGAGCTGCAGACAAGCCAAAGGGAATAGGAACTAAGGGATTTACTGTGCCTTCAACTCCCTACTGGGTAGGGGACACAAACCACACAGTCCCCGCTCACTGTCCTCACTGGCCACACAGCCTCTGCAGATGTGAAAGAAACGTTAATGCAGGGGAAGATGGAAAGGAGTAGAAAGAAAAAAAACCCTGCAAATGCTGCTTCCTTTGAGCCAAATGGGTCCTAAACACCCAACATCAGAGTGAAACCTGGGAAATGCTTTATTGACCTTTGATAAATGATATCCTGCCAATGACGTTTCCTGCTGGCGGAGGTGCTGGTGCAAAAGCTCTGTTGCAATCCTCCACGGCTCCTTTTCCTCATGCTGTGCCTGTTAGTAACACAAGGCTCCAGCCCTCTGTCTCTTAGTGGGGTTAAAGTGCTCGGAAGCATTTAGAGAAAAAACAAACAAACAAACTGAATGCAAATAATGGTTAGGACAATAATAAACAACAGAGAATAGCCTTATATGGCTGTATAAACCTAATGTTCACCCTGATCTTGTGCAGTTCTGCTTCCTTCGTCTCAAAAAGGGTACATGAAATGAGGAAAGTTCAGGGAGGGCATCAGAAGCAATCAGAGACCTGGAACAGTTTTCCTCAACTAGACACCCAGAATGAAACTCTTCTAAACATGCTCGGCTATATGAGCTGTAAACACCTCTGGATCTTTTCTATCAACACGTAGACATCAGTTGAACTCAGATGTCTTCAGACTGTACATGGCAGAGAGGAAAAAGTCTGAATCAGTAACTGAAAATTACATATCTGTACAAATAATGTTCTTGCACCGGTGGAAGGATGTCCAAGAAGTCTTCATGTATCTCCATTTTTGCACATTCTCAAAACTGCAGTATATTACAATCATTCATAAAGTAGCTTTGCATTAATACTACCCTGGCTACTGGTGATAGTGTTCCCACAATAACACAAACTCAGCATGGGATGGATGATGCATCAGGGGAATTGGACTACCAGCCTGTGCCACAACTAGGTATTTTCAATACTTGCTTAGTTTGTTCTACTGATGAACTTAACTGATGTCTCTGCTAAAATTTTGACACAGCGTTTATCAAATGAAATATATGCAACAAATATAGATTCCCATCTCTGTACAGCGCTGTACAAACGGCACAGTTCTCCCCTTGTTGTGACTGCTTTGCGGCAGGAGACACACCAGTTTGTCTGGCAAAAGATCACTTTTTCTGCATATGTCGCCAGTGAAAGACTGCTACCAACCTGGCATTGTCAGAGGACCTATGAGACCAGTATATAAAACCTTGTTGTGCCAGCCTCTGGAGTAGTGGGTGCAGGGCTGGTGCCCACATCTGAAGAAGGACGTGGCAGAAATAGAAAACATGGAGTTAGAACTAAAGTGATCAAGGAGGGGCAGCTGCCTGTGGAGGAGATACTAGAAAGGCTGGGAATCTCTGGTTTGGAGAAGGTGGTGGGAGGGGCATGACCAAGTTTCACAAGAATTACAGAACAGTTAGGGTAGGAAGAGACTTCTGGAGATCATCTGGTCCAACTCCCCTGCTCAAGCAAGGTCAGCTCGAGCAGGTAGCTCTACTCATGAAGGCAGCAGATAAGCTGAATGCACAGCAGTCACCCACCAATACCAGAACTCCAGGGCACTCGAAACCAGTAGGAAATGAATTTAAAACAGAGAAACAGAGAAAAGTTATTTTATAGAGAACATAGTGAGCTTCTGGAGCTTACTGTCACAATAGGTTATGAAGGAGGACAGTATCAGGGAGTTTAAAAGAGGATTAGACAAATTAAGAGGCAACAGGTCCATAAACAGATATTCTAGGGAATAGTCAGGGATGACTGCTAGTACCAGTAATAGATACAACAGTAGTGGAAGCTGGGACAGTATGAGGGGAATGGACTGCAGAAATTGTCCAGGCTTATGTAACCTCCCTAAAACATGTGTCCTGTAGACACTGACAAACATGGAGTGAGGTAGCCCAACAGTCTGAGATACTCAGAGACACAAAATGACAAGTCATTTGCTTTGTACTGACCTTGAGGGAGTCTTGAGGGACAAAAAAAACTCACTGGCCCAATTTAATCTCACTTC